AGTGGGAGACAGGTGAGGAGGAGGAAGAGGGTGGAGGATGGGTGGTGCAGGGTGGGGCTCCATCTATAAAGCGAGAACGCCTGCTGGCTAGTGGGCAGGAGAGCTTGCCACATACTCCAGAGGCACCAGGAGCCCCGTAGGCTTTGGTAAGTGTCCCCTCGCTGCAACCGAGACCAGCAGCTGATCTCCCAGGAAACACTTGGCCCGATCCTGTGCTGCCTGCCTCCCTTGCAGAGGGTCCTGGCTTGAGATGGGAGGGGGGTGTTCCCAGTGCCTGCTACTGTCCATTTGGTGTTCTCCTTACCCCCCTCCCACCTCCCCTGTTATCCCTCAAGGATCAGGAGGAGGAGAACAAATCTGCACCATGAACTTATGGCTCCTCGCCTGCCTAATGACCTGCTTCATAGGCACCTGGGCCCCTGCTGTCCAAGCTCAAGGTACTGTCTGGGCCATACCTACTCTCCTCCCCCCAAGTTCCCCCCCTTCCCATCCATCCTTCTGTCTGCCCCCCCTCCCATTTGCCTATCCCCTCCTCTAAAAGTCTGAGCTGATTTCTACCATCAGATTCTCTGACAGCTACCCCATCCCCAGGCATGCGGAAACTCCTGGCATCTGTGCAGTCCCTGTGGTGCCTCCACCAAAGCCCATGACCCAAGTCTTTCCTGCAGGGACTCCAGTCAGCCCAGGGAATGTGGGAAGCAGAGGGTGGCTCCCATAGTGGCCTAGCCCCTTGTCACCAGGGACACACTGCAGTGATCTCACCCTGTAGAGCCCCAGAGACTAGCAGGAAAGGGTCCTCTTCCCAGCTTCCCCCAACCCGGGCTAACTGGGTGGTCAGGCTGAGGGTCACTACTCAGCCTTTATGGGCCTCAGTTTCCTCATGTGCAAAGTGGGGCTCCAAGTTCCCGCTGTAGAGAGAGGGGCCTTGAAGATCCAATGGACTAATGCCTGCAAAACGCTTGGCCCAGTGCCTGCAGCACCAACAGTAATTACTGTTATTATTGGGAAATACCTTCCCTCCTCTCCCTAGATTAGGCACTTGAGGATTTTGGCGACTAAAAGCCAGTTCTGGGCATGCAATACCCCAGGAGAGGAGCCCCGCCACGGTGCCCTCCATCGCAGTGGGCCCAGGGGAGGCAACCGAACCCCAGCAGCTGGCAGGGCAGGGTCGAGGTCCGCCTGCCCCACCCACCCCTTACTAGGCTCTCTCCTGTCCCCCAGCAGATCTTAGCCTTTGCCCCAGAGGGGGCTGGGCTTAGTTTCCATTGCCCTGGTATCAGAGGCTCATTCCAGCAGGCAGGCAAGCCCAGGCCCTTTGATCCTGGCCCCCAGCCTGAGGAACTGCTTGCCTGACACTGTGCCCCAGGATCCATTTGACTCCACTGCCCCTTGCTCTCTGGGGCCATTCTTGCCCTCTCCTTTACCCCTCCTTCTGGCTTCACTCTGCCAGGGCTTAGTCATGGTCACTCCAGGGGCCAATAGAGGGACAGATCCCTTGAAGGCCTCTGTACCATCTTTTGCATCAATTCATCCTTTGCTTCCAGACCCTCTGGCACCAGCACCTCCTCCTCTGAGTGCCTCCCCTTCTGAACTTCCCCCTCCCAGCATAGATCAATTTCCTAGTCTTCCTGCTAGGCCAGGACATCCCTGATGACAACACTAGGTCCAATTCCCTTCTGTTTATCCAGACATTTGGCCCTGAGTAGGAACTCTAAATGCTTTTATTCAACTAAAGGGTAAATGAACAGAGACCTCCAGGTTTCTGGTCAGGTGACTCAGAGAGGTGACTCTGATGGGAACAGAGAGGAGGTACCTGAGGTAGACCTAGGTGGGGAAAGGCCAATCTGGAGCAGGAACCAGGACATCAGGAACAGCAGGCCAGCCCACTCATTTTAGGAGGAGGGACCCAGATGGCAGTAGTGGCCCCCGGCCCCTCCTCAGGGTACTGCATCTGCCCTCCTTGCCCTCTGTCCCAGAGCAGGAGTAGAAATGGCCTTGGTCTCCCATTCATTTTGAGGTCCTGGGCCCTTCCTAGCCAGGGTCTCAGGCCCTCTCCAACTCCTGCCAGCTGTCCCCATATCAAGGACCAAAGGTGAGCCTAATGGCTTTCTTATCACCTGGGCTGTCCCTCAGCCTCCATGGGGCCTGGGACAGTCATGATATGTTTGAGGGTGCCTACATCGGTGGCTGTGCCTGCACACCCAGTGCAAATGCAGCCACACAGATACATAGAAAACTGAGCCTGGCCATGGCTGTGTCACTCAATGGCCTGTGCACCAATTTCCGGTCAAGGGCACATACCTGGGTTGCAGGCACATGCGGGAAAGCAACCAATGTCTCTCTCAACTTGATGTTTCTCTCCTTGCTTCCTCCCACCCTTCCTCCCTTCCTCCCTCTCCAAAAATCAATGGAAAAAATATCCTCAGGTGAGGATTAACAACAAAAATAAAAATACAAAAAAGAAAAGTGAGCCTGGGTGACTGTGTGATTGCAGGTGTCTTTGAGGACTGCTGCCTGGCTTACCATCCCTACATCAAGCAGACTGTCCTCCGGCGGGCCCATAGTTACCATCTCCAGGATGTGAGTGGGAGCTGTAACCTACCCGCTGTGATGTGAGTAGGACAATAGGGGCTACGGTGGGTGGGAGCTCACACATAACTTTGCTTCCCACTTACATATTAACCTTGCACTCCACTCCCACTTGCACAGATTCCACTTCCCTCGCAGACATAAGATGGTGTGTGGGAACCCAAAGGCCAAGTGGGTACAAAATGGGGTGAGGTTACTGAATCATCGGAAAAAGCATCACCAAGGCACCTCGGGAAACTTCCAAGGTGGGTGAGACCCCAGCCCAGCTGCAGGCTACTGAGCTTCTCAACCCCCAAAGGAGGGGATTACAGCCTAGCACGCTGACAGCTGCCCACACCCCAAAGAAAGCCAGTTGCTGGGGAGTGGGAGACTGAGTGAATGAGCAATTCTTTTAGTCAAAACACTTTCAATTGCCAGAGATGGGAAAGTCAAGCTAATGGGAAACTCATCAGTTCAAATGACCAGCTAATGGCTTCAGGCTTGGCTGGATCCAGGTGCTCAAAGGGTATTGATGAATCTATTATCTGTTTCTATTTCCATCTTTCTGACAGGCTCTCACACTACTGAGAAGAAGCTGAGCTCTGGAACCTACAGGGTTCCACCCTCCTTGTTTAGAGGTGGCATCGGAAGCAGCAAGAGGAATGCCTCCCTCCCAACAATAGCTAATCCAGGTAAGGACTTGGATCATGTTACCATCTCTGGGCTCATCATGATGAGGGCTCATGATGAGCCCAGATTGGGTCGAGGACTCATCAGCATGACCAAGGAGGGTTGGTTCTGTGGTCAGCCCCACAGGTTCACATGAGAGCGTCCTAGGTGTCCACAACTGACCCAGCCCAGGAAACTTCAGCTCCACTCCACTCTCTGTCACCTGCCGTCCTCTCCAGTCCTCTCCAATCTCTCCTGCAGGACTGTGAGACTGCACATCTCCAGGATCAATCAACTCAAGATGGGCTGGAGTTTCTCCACCGTGACTGTTGCCTTGCAGCCCCCCAATTGCTCTATCCTTCAAGCCAACTCTCCAAGCCTGTACCCAAGTCTGCATTGGTCTCTCACCCCGCCACCTCCTGCTCCTTAGGCAGCTGTAAGGAGGGAGCCCTTTGTTTTCTTTGAGAACCAGAGCCTGCCCTGGCCAACGGTTCTGATGGACAATCATCAAGGATCACCACCCATTTGCAGTCTTTTGTCACCTACTCTGGGGCCACACCTGCCTATGTCCCCCTGGGCTCTTGCAAAGCTCTAGTCCATCCATGGACACCCCTCTTGAGCTGTGCTTTTAAAAATAAACCTTTGGTGGGACATCATTCCTGTCTCTGTCACGTTTCATTATGGGGTGCCAGTCCCAACCTGTGCTGAATTCCACATGATCCCCTCTCACTCCAGGATAGCAGACATCTCCGGGGGGCCGAGCACTGGATTGCTAGATATAGGACCGGGTGCATGTTCAGCTGGTGACCTTGAGCAAACCGCGCCACTCTCTTGCTGCCTCCTTCCTGGTTTATAAAGTGGGGTCACATGCTTGCTTTGCCCAGGTCCCTGGGTTGTCATAACCGGCTAATGGATGAAGCCTCTGTAAGCTCTGATGGGTGCCCAGAAGCTCCTGATAGTTTGGGTGAACCAGACCCCAGCTAGGACAGAGTTCAGTGACTGCTCTGCAGGAGGAGGAAGGGGCAAATTTCAGGGTCCAGGTCACCACTCAAACTCAATGTAACCAAATGTGCTGTCCTCAGGCAGCCCATATCCATGACAAAGAATGTTCTGAATGAAAGCAAATGTACCATCTTTAGAGGAGAAGAGGTAGTTTGGGGCCAGGAGCCAGACTTGGAGGAAACTGGGTCACATCCAGGCCTCACTATGCTATTGTGATCCAGGCAGATTCCACAAACTCTCTAAACCTCAGTCCCCGCCCCCCCGCTCCCCCCCCCCATCTATAAAATGTAGTGATAGCACTGCCTGCCTCATACAAGTTTGTGGGGACTAAATATATTCCTATCTGTGTTGTAGACACACACATACTGACTACATGTTAACAGGATGAGAATCTCAGCCATCAAACTCGGTAGATCTGGCCCAACCTGGGGCCAGGCCGGTGACGGCACAGCTGTCTGACTTTGAACCCAGTTCTGCTGCCTCCAGCCTGGAGTCACCTTAGTAAGTTGCTTGACCTCCCTGAGCTTCAGGTTTTCAATCTGCAATATGATTGAAAGGATGAGGATAGCAGTCTCTATTCCATGAGGCTGTAGTAACAAATGGGTCAATAATTGGAAAATATTTAGAAGGGTGTCCGATATGTAGTATGTGGTCTGGAAATGTGAGCCATTTTCATCAATATTTTTAAAAAATATATTGTTATTGATTTCAGAGAGGAAGGGAGAGAGAGAGAGAGAGGAGAGAGAGAGAGAGAGAGAGAGAGAGAGAGAGAGAGAGAGAGAGAAAGAAAGAAAGAAAGAAAGAAAGAAAGAAAGAAAGAAAGAAAGATCAATGATGAGAGAGAATCATTGATAGGCTGCCCAGCCATGTGCCCTGACTGGGAATCAAACCCCAACCTCCTGGTTCATAGGTTGATGCTCAACCATGGAGCCACGCCAGCCAGGCCATTTTTATCAGTATGGAGTGAACCCATGAGGGCTCAGTTGATGCCAAACACACAAGCCTAAGAATTGGCAGAGCCTATATGTACCCCAGGACTGTGTCTCCATGCCCAGGTGGAAGGTGTCTCCACCCACCTCTCACCTATATACTTTCTGCTCAGAGCCCTGCACTGTAGCTCATCCCCCACCCCATAGCTTCCGCCCTCCTAGGGTCTCCGGTTCTTCATGTAGCCCTTCAGTGTCTACTTACCTCAAGAACGTGCTAAGGAGGCAGACGTAATCCGAAAATAGCTATTGTTTTTCCACTTCTGATATAAAGCATCCTTGGAACCCTAGGGGGCATGAACATGGCTGTGCAACACCAGCTCTGGCTGGGGCCCTGTGGGCCCTTCTGCTTGGAGTGATGAGCCCTATGCCCACCTCTGGTGCAGTGCAGAAGTTTAGCCTGAGATTGACCAGATACAGTGAATCACAGGGCCCTGCTTGACCCTAATGTGGGAGGTGGAGGTGCAGGCCACAACTTCCAGTTGTCTCCAGGAAAGACTGCTGGGGAGAAGCTCATCTCGCCTGAGGTAATAACGTAGCATGTCACTCTTCCTGAGTTTCGGGGTTCCACCTGGTCAGCCATTGCAACCAGGGATGGATTCTCAACAGTTCCAAAATATCCTGTCTCTGGAGAGGAGGAGGCATGGAGGCCTTAGTAAGGCCCCAGCTCATCACCAGGGTCTCCCTGCAGTGTGTAGCGAGCAGAGTTTCATCAGTTTTCCCCAAAACCCATGGAATGAGGCTGGGGCTGGGTGGTGCCCAGGCGGTGAGTCTGGACAGGGGGCTGCAGGAGGGGCCTGGGACCAGGCTATAGTAGCTGTAGCCAAACCTTCAGCTGCAAGGCCTGGACCCTTGGCCCTGGCTGTCCCTCTGCCCAGATGCACCAGGGGCCTGCCATGCTCACCACCTCCAGCTGGTAGGTTCCAGGCTCTCGCCTCTGACCTGCGACCACAGAGGTGATGCATGTGGAAGAAGCTGATTATTGCTGGGGACAATAACATAGTGGACCTGGCCTCTTAAACTCTCCATCACTGGCTGCAGCTCCAGGATGTGCTCGGCCCAGCCTAGGCATGAGAGGTTCAAGCCCAAGGTCAGCAGGATCTCCACATCAAAGCTGGCTAGGCTCACCTGGGGAGAAAAACCAAGTGGATGATGGTTAGAGGCTGGCAGAACTGGAATGCGGTAAATAGGGGGCCATGGAGTCATGGCCAAGGGTAGATTTTAGCCAATCTCTAAAGAGGAAGAAAACACAGAACACCCTCTGTCCTTGACTTCTGTCTAGCCCTCCATCCACAAGGTCAATGGACAGCACATGGGCTATAGATAGAGGCATGAAATCAGAGGCTGGTTCTCAGATGGAAAGCAAAGAGGGAAGGTAGGCAACCAATTTTACACACTTACTCCAGACCCCGAATCTCAGTAGAGGGGCTTTCGTGAGATTCCTGCCAGTCTGGGCAGAGGGGATTGAGGATATGACCTAAGAGTCCTATATAAGACTCAGACAGCATCAGATCCCAAAGGTGGATGGGGTGGCTGGAATTATGACCAAGGGCCTGGTAGCAGAAGCCAGCCTAAGAGAGGATGCCAGACCCAACACAGTGAGAGAAACACAAGATCCCGCTGGGCTAGAGAGGAGTTGCCAGATACCTTTCCGGTTCCTGGAGGCCCGCTGCACTTTCTGCATCTGGGCTTTTTGAGAGCCCTCTGTGTGCAGATGACAAACTCTGCTTTATCTGAGCTCCTGTGAGTGTGTTCCTGGTCCTGGCAGCCAGATAGGGCTCTGAGTAAGTCAGCCAGCCGCAATGGCAGACTAACCAGGGCTGGATGCCATATCCAATCACACAGGAGGTTAACTGTTTTCTTCTCCTTTGCTCTGGGCAATGCTGTGTTTGTTTTGCCTAATTGATATGCTGCCGGGGTGTTTTGCTGTTGCATTAAAAGTGAAAGCTGTTCCTGTTTCCTAACCCCTGAGTTCTGGAGATTTCAGTCCTTCCCATTAAGTGTTGCAGACATGTGCTCCTACCAGCACCTATTGGCAGTCTGTGGGTATTGCAGGCAAAGTCACAGAACCCAAACACCCTTCTGAGGATCAAGGGCTGGTGACACAGTGGCAAACCCTACAGACACATGGCCCTGCCCTTGCAAAGCTTACAGAGAATAATGGTAACAATGGGATAACATATACAGTCACTTTTTTTTCCAGCAAGAGGTTAAAAAAAAACAAAAGGGAAAAAACAAGGCAAAATAATCCACTCATATTTAATCTAATATTAAAGCCCCTCAGATCCAATTCCTATCCTAGTTCTGCCTTCATTGTTTCCCCAGCATTTATCATGTATCATAATTTATCATGTGTTATAAAATACAATGTTTTACTTGTTTCTTATCTGTCTCCCTATTTTTAGAGTATCAGCCCCATGGGGGCAGAGACTTTTTTTGCTGTTTGCTCAATGATTTTTTGAAATAACATAAAGTGATGGTCTCAGAGGGTAGTGACTGCAGAGGGGCCTAGGATGCCTGGTCGTGAAGACCAAGCTGCTTGTAAAGAAAAGGCCATGTGCTATTGCTCTGGAATCCCCTGCTCTGCCACTTTTAAGTTCTGCAATGTGAGATCTGCAATGTGACCTAACTTCTTTGTGCCTCAGTTTCCTCATTGGTAAAATGGGGATAGTGGCATCTCCACCTCTCAAGACTGTTGTAAACATTGAGAGGCCATGAATGCAGAGTGCTTGGAGTAGTGTGTGCATCCAGCAGGCACTTAATAAATGTTTAGCTTCAGATCCTTTGGGGGATGGTGGCAAGGCTGGCCAGCAGTGGCCTCAGGGACAAAAATCACTGTTCTACACAACCTGGGGTCAGGGTTATGGCTGGAGTGGCCCCAGAGGACAAGAGGGACAAAGCTACAGGTGCTCTGCTGTCCCCGAGAGTATGGGGATGATTTCTAGAGCTGAGGTGGACTCAAGAGTCCCAAGCATCAAAGGTGCAGGAAAGAGGTGCAGAGGAGGAGGGTCTGAAGGGGGAGAGGAGAGGAGTGATGGAGGACCACAACCCTATGAATGAACAAAGGGATTAAGCTGGCTACTCTGGGCCCCATTGGTGCTAAATTCAGAGGAGCTCTGAGGGAAGGTTTTGCCAGCAAAGAGGTGAGGGGTGACAAGTTCTGGGGTGCAAATAAGGTTGGGGGGCATCCAAGTGCCATGGAAGGGATCATGAGGGGCAACACTCCTGGCCAGAGTCTATGTGGGAGGTACCTGACTCATTACCAGGAGTGAAGTGGGGTGCTTGTGGGGCTTGTTTACCCCAGAGAGCCCAAGGGAAATCCAGGAGCTGAGGAAGTGGAGGAAGGCCTAGGCAGGTACCACAACGCTGGGACAAGCTGGACAGTCTGGTGTTTCCACCTTTGGCGCATCCTCCGACTGTCCCCGCCACTGACTGTACTGCCACACCTAGTGCATTCTCCATGGCACCTGGTGGTCCCTGTGCATGCCGTGCTATGGCTGGGGAGGCCCTTGATCTTACACTCATAGCAGGCTTAGGTGAGAGCAGCTCTCCTCATCCAGA